CGACATAGAGGCGCTTCTGTGCAGGACATAGCGCCGGGGCGGCTTTTGCCTGCTTGCCTCATCAGCCATAAACCTCACCGCAGGTCACTGTTTGACACACAAGGAATTTAAAAATCTTTATCATTTCTAGCACAAGGATGTATTTCACTTTCCCTTCTGCCAAAAGAATCTATTCGTAGCATTTTCTAAGTCTTTGTCTGGAGAATTTTTTTAAAAAACTGACTGCTGTCTGGGCGAAAAAGCCCCACCACACAAATATCAATTGTTCATCCTTCTTCTTATTTCACCTATTCCTATGCTAGTTAATATCTCAGACGGCTAGGAATAAAACAGCACTCTGTTTCTTCGGTCCTCCACCTCCCGCAAGGCCTCCATTCATTACTGTTGTACATCCAACCTTCCATTCCCCACCTTCCCAAGACTGTTTGCTTCGCACGTAATCATTTCCAACGAACCCGCCTACCAAATGCCACTGCACACACCCTCGCAAACAAACCTCGCTACTACAGAGTGGCTCTTTATGGGGCTTGTGTGGAACCGAAAAATAGGAACACCGGGTGGCGGCTACAATTTGGGCACCAAAAACGGGAGGACACCTGCTCCGAGGGAACCCGGAGCGCCAGCAAGGAAGACAGGGAGGTCCCAGGCAGCAGGCTTCCCCACAAAGTAGGTGGCTTTGCTTACAAACCACACCCACAGAGGATCATGTCACCTATTCCTTCGCCCCTACCTGAAGCCCGCGAATACAAGGGAGACGCTCGGGATGTTCCCGGCTCAGCCATCTTCCTCCTCCGGCACCCTAGATGCTGCTGCTGCTGCTGATTACTTTTCTCCCCAGCCGTCTGCTACCTCGCTTAAAGAACCGTAACCGATAACAGTATTACTCTTGCTGCTACTGCGCGGCCGCCACCGCACAGGCGCACTTCGTTTCGGTAGGACACCTGACGCGTCGTTAGAGAATTGGAGAAGCAGAAGAGGGATAGAAGCGCTAGATGCTGAGAGAGCAATTGCTGAAAACCAGGGAGCCTGAGCGGCCGCATAGCTTCTGGCGCTTTCCAGATGTATATTCCTTCTCTCCGAGATTCTTCCTACCTTGTGGTTAACGTGTGGCAACCTGCTCGTGCTCTCTTTATTTAATTTTATTTGCCTCGGGCATCAGCAACTGTTCTGCAAACTGCTTCCTACTGCGCGCCAAAAGGATTCGTGACGGTTGCCTTTGATCCCGAAAGCAGCCTTTCGGTACTCTGTGAGGCAGAGAGCAAAATGCAAAAAGTTGCTTCGGGTGGTTGGATGAGGTTCCAGATTTACGCTTAAGCACTCCTTTCAATTAACTGGAAAGTTAAACTAAACCACGCGGTCGAGAAACTAGTTCGGGCAGAACATTTTCTCCCAAATGTTTGTATTTTTCCAAACCAAAGTGCAAATGCATCATATGCTTTCCCTCGGATCATTGTAGTGAAGCTTATTTGGACAATTTCTCCCAGTCCTATTTATAGGCTTTCTTTTGAGATATCAGGAAGAATACAGGGGTTACCATGGAAAAGAGATCAGCAAAAGAGGAGGATTTTCAGATTGTTAAAGCACCAAGGAAGTTAGCAGGGAAAAAATGCTCAGAGAAGCAGAGGTAATCCTCCAGTTTGTCACCAACCGGTGGTCTGTGAAAAAATTTTGGTGGTCCGCGGCGCACCCGGGTGCAGGAGCTGCTCCTGGGCCAGTCCCGTGACTAGAGCTCTGAAATATGGGATTGGTCAGGCAGTTCGTGATGTGGGGGGGGGGCTTGAAATCTCTGGAGGTACTTGCAACTTGCAAATTTGCAGGAGGTGCCACGTGCAAGGAGTAGTGCAGCCCTTGCTGGCCAGAATGAGATAATAGTGCTGTTGCAGCAAGGGGTGGGGCAGGCGGGCTGAAGCAACGGGTGTCAACAATCCACGGCTCTTTCATCCCCCTACTGTGGCTTCGTGTCGGCTGAACCCACCACTGGCTGACCCGGCCCCTTGCCCTTCCCTCTCACTCCTCGCCTAGCCTGAGAAGGGAAGACAAGGGATTTTTTGCTCCGTATTCCAGAACGGGAACAAAGTTTCATCTCTTGCTGAGTCTGTGGGGCGTTTCTTCCAGCCCTTGGTGCTGTGTGACTGGGAGACACGTGATTTCTCCTCCCCAAGACACTGGCTGGCCTGTGAGATGAAAGAGAGAGGTGAATGAGAGATGAAAGATCCCTATGTTTTGTTTTCTGTGGGAAATGGATCCAAATGACTCTGAGTGTTTAAGATTGAAGAAACAGGCCAAACTAAGTGTCTGAAGGACCTCATCCCATCACTGGGAGTCCAGGTGCTTCAGCGAGAGGCGCATTGGATTCATATTAGTGGTCCACAGGATTTAAAATCATGAATTTAGTGGTCCCTGAAGTCCAAAAGATTGGTGATATATAAAAGATTGGTTATATAAGGTAAACTATCTCAACCCTAGTTTCTTAGGATCCTGATGTCTCAGGAGCTATGATAAACTGCTCCTAAAACTCCAGTTGAATACTGTAATCTGTCCAGAAAAAAAGAAACAGCAATAATGCTGGGAAAATATTTTGCCTTTATAACTAAGGATCTTGCACCCAGAACAGGTGTAGCCTGTCATCCCAGCTCTTTCCTTCTCACTACAACTCCAAAATGATTATTTTAAAAACATTTTGTCTTCTTTTACAAAGTGACTTGTAGGAAGTTATCACCCAGCCCTCTCCCAGAAAAATGAAATATCGTAGGAAATATTGAAAAGACAGAATATTTCTCTGGATGTGAAAAGGAAGAAACATGTTTTATAAAGACAGAATACCTCCCTGCAGCTTCCTGCCCCCACCCACTTTGTCAATGGGCCATTAAGAACCCCAAGCCAGTCCCTTTACATAATAAAGAGTTCTCCCCTTCAGCTCCAGGGGGATTGGATTAAGGCACGATAATATTGGCTCTTTACCCAACTGACCACATGGCATCTGAGAACTCAANGTTCTACCGAATAGGTGCGAACTGGTAGGAACCCACCTCTGTGTATAGCCAATGGGAAAGTATTGTACAAGCTAATTTTAGCTTAAACTATACCTTTTTTTTCCTTCTCAGAAAGCTGCTTCACATCCTTTTGATTGCACATTTCTGCTTTTTTTATTTTCTTCCAAAGCTCTAGAGTATTCCTTGGAGATGTAGAAACTAAAACTTTGCCGTTAACTAAGAATGATCACAATATTAAGCTGCCTAAAGGTAACCTAATGTTGAACATTATGTGCTCATTTTATTTTGTGAAGATTCTTACCTGTTAGACATTTTACCTTTCCCCAAACTCAAGAAGTCCTCACTTCAGGCATTTAAAACTGGCAATTATAGAAAAGGTCTCCAATCTCTGCTTGCAACATCTGTGTGTGACAAAACAGTGACAAGCAGCTGTAATTGGACTGCATTCCTAGAATAGAACTTTGTCTCTACAAGGAACCATGTTTGATTTGTACCAAATGGATTGCTTTAAATCATGAAAAATACTCGAGCAAATGTTCTTAAAAGAGTTTGTGAAGAAGCAGGACATTGTTGGACAGATCAATCCATTGCCTCTTTGAACATCTTATCCTTCTCCAGATATAATCCTTCCTTTTGCTACTTAAAGATAGTGTAATGTGGAAGCTGAGATGGATATCATTCAGTTTTGTTTGAGAATTGCCATGTCTATGATCCTTTGCAATAGAAGACATAGTTTAGGAATACATTGTTACTGCTTAGTATAGATATTAACTCTAGAATGGAGATGAAGAAAAGAGGCAACTCCAACAAGCTCTTTAAGATGTTTTTTGTGTTACAGCTTCCTACCTGATGGGAGCTATAATCTGGAGGGAACTGGATAATGTATTGTAAGCTTTGTGTAGGTTTTCACACCTTATCTTCGCCTGTTATATTTTCTGTTATTCAGTACATTTAAACAAGGACTTTTCCAATGTAATGTACATCTCTGCTATATTTCGACTATATTAAGAGTTTAAAACTTTCCTCCATTTCTCTAACCGTTCACTTGCCTCTTCATTTTCAACTTGGTATCCAGTCTCTCTGTTATACTTAGAAACTGTTAGCAACCCAATCCGGATCACTGAATTCAAAAGCATTGTACTCATTTGGGTTACTGCACTTTGATTCCCCTCTTGGTGGTTGGGTGTGGTGTGTGTGTGTGTGTGTGTGTGTGTGTGTAATTATTTTCCAAATAGTTTGGAAAACTTCTTTCCAAAGCACCCAACAGTTTGGAAAGTATTTTCCAAAATAGTTTGGAAAGTATTTTCCAAAATAGTTTGGAAAGTAT